TATAAAAATTACTCGACATTTGAATAAATGTAAATTGACATTACAATTATTTTTATTAATATATTCATTAGAAGTGAAATTTTAAAATACACTAATACTTGTAATCAACCATTATTGATAAATATCAAAATCATATAACTCCTTCTTTTATTAGAAACAAAGAGTAATAAATTTTATATTTGTCAGAATTGATTTAAAGACTTTCATCTTATTATTCACTGCTCACAGCAGTTTAATGTAAATAGGTTACAATGACTACAAGAGATAATAACTATTTCTTATAAAAATAGAATCACTAATAAATTTTAAAGGGCATTTTAGATAAGCATCTTCAATCTAAAGAAGCTGATTTGACAACTATGTTAACTCCAAATAGGGAGCTTTATAATAAATGATGTTTTTTTAACTTTTATAAAAGGTAAACGAAAATAAAAGGAATTGTATGATACAATTATAGAGAAGCCATATATTCAAACAATAAAAAGTAGGAAACCAGTCTTTTTGATTTGAGAAAGATCATCAAATGCAAGCGTCTTTGAGATAATCGATCAGTTGAACTCTTCGGGAAAAGCTATTATTTATTACACATTAAATATATTTTTTTAATAATGATTGAAAATTTTGTGTTTTTTTAAATGTTTCATAAAGCTACGTAAAATAAAAACTAATTAGTGATACTGCTTCTGCTGCTTTTATACTCATTATTCTCTTTGTATGGAAATAATCGATTAATTTGTCTTCCTACTTCAAACCTACCCTGAGACATTTATTTTTTCATATTTTATATGTAAATCAATAACACATTAGTAAAAGTTTAAACTATGTGAAAAAGCTTGGATCAAATGAAAATGAGCAATATTAATACAGTTCAATGACATAGAAAGTCATAAAGGAATTTGATACTTAATGAATATATGGAAAATATCAGATATGTATTCAATTAATTGGGAGGAAGGTTGAAGAATGGGTAGAGTAGTTGAATGAATATAGTCTTGCTAAAATAATCAAGTAAGAATTCAGCCAAAGAGAGTAAAGGCCTTCTGGAGGTAGAAAAG